TAACAATTAATGGGGGCCGGCACTGTGGCACACTCGGTTAATCCTCCACCTGTGGCGCTGGCATCCTATATGGGCGCTGGTTCTAGTCCTGGTTGCTTCTCTTCCAGTCCAGCTCTCTGCTGTGGCCAGGAAGGCAGTGGAGAATGGCCCAGGTGCTTGGGCCCCTGCACCCATGTGGGAGACCAGGCAGAAGCACCTGGCTCCTGGCTTCGGATTGGCATAGCTCCGGGCGTGGCGGCCATTTGGGGGATGAAGCAATGGAAGGAAGACCTTTCTCTCTATCTCTCTCCCTCTCTCACTGTCTAACTCTATCTGTCAAATAAATAATATATATATAAAAAAAAACAATTAATGGATTAGGGTGGACTTTGACCCAATGATGGTGTCTGAAGGTGGGGTTTTTCAGGGCGTGGTGGAATTGATCCAGGGTGCTGGGAAGGTGCTCCAGGATCAAACCATGTGATCATACCATAAGCCTAAGCCAGTGGGGCTTCAGGATCTTGGGCTGTGGGCCTCCAAACTATGAGCTGAAATAAACCTCTTTGCTAAGTGGCTTCTCTCGGCTATTTTAGTTATAGTAACAGAAAGCTCACTAATACTAGGTACCAACATCATATAATGGAAAAAAGCAATCTCTTCAACAAATGGTGCCAAAATTAGAAAGCCATGAGCAAAAGAACAAAGATGGAACCCTAAACCTCTCACTATATAAAAAATTAACTCTAAATGGGACATAAGCCTAAATATAAAAGATGAAATTTGGGGCCAGTGTTGTGGCAAAGTAGGTAAAGACTCTGCCCGAGGAGCCAGCACTGTGGCTTAAGGGTTAATGGTCATCGCCTACAGTACCAGCATCCCATATGGGCCTCGGTTTGAGTGCCAGGTTCCAATTCAGTTCCCTGCTATGGCATGGGAAAGCAGTAATAGATGGACCAACTGCTTATGCCCCTGCACCCACATGGGAGATCCAAAAGAAGCTCCTGGTTCTTGGCTTCGGATTAGCCCAGCTCCAGCTGTTGCAGACATTTGGGGAGTGAACCAGCGGATGGCAGATCTCTCTCTCTCTCTCTCTCTGCCTCTCTTTCAATCTGCCTTTCAAATTAAAAAAAAAAAAAAAAAAAAAAGCGAAGGGATCATTCAGACCTGAATCTTTGGGGGAAAAAAAGCCTGTGAGGCTTCCATCCCATATGGATGCAGATTCAAGTCCCATCTGTTCCATTTCCGATTCAGCTCCCTGCTAATGTGCCTGGGAAAGCAGCAGAAGATGGACCAACTGCTTGTGCCGCTGGACCCACATGGGAAACCCGAAAGAAGCTCCTGGCTCCTAGTTTCGGTCTAGCCCAACACCAGCCATTGCAGCCATTTGGGGAGTGAACTAGCAGGTGGAAGATTTCTCCCTCTCTCTGTCCCCACCTCTTTTTGTATAACTTTGCCTTTCAAATAAATAAATTTTTTTTAGAAAGGAGAGATAAAACTATAAAACTCATCCCCGTGACAATGGCTATTATCAAGAAGACAAAGTAACAAATGTTGGCAAGAATGTGGAGAAAGCCTACACACAGGCTGTAGGAATGCAAATCAGTACAGCCACTATGGAAAACAGTATGAAGATTCCTTAAAAAACTAAAAATATAACTGCCAAATGATTCAGCAATACCACTACTGGGTATATATCCAAAAGACAATCCAAAAGACAATTCATTCTATCAAGGAGACACTCACTACCACATTTATTACAACACTATTCATATTGGCAAAGATATGGAATCAACCAAGATATGAATCATCAGGAAAATAAAGAAAATGTAGAGGCCCTCACTGTAAGGCAGCCAGTTAAACTCCGGACCTACAGCGCTGGCATCCCATAGTGGTGCCAGTTCAAGTCCTAGCTGCTCACTTCCTATCCAGCTCCCACTACTGCGCCTGGGAAAGCAGTAGAAGATGGCCCAAATCCTTGGGCCCCTGCACCCATGTGGGAGACCTGGAAGAAGCTCCTGGCTCCTGGCTCCTGGCTCCTGGCTTCAGATCGGCGCAGCTCCAGCTGTTGTAGCCAAGTGGGGAGTGAACCAGCAGATGGAAGATTCTCTCTCTCTCTCCCTCCCTTCCTCCCTCCCTCTCCTTCTCTCTCTGTTCTCTCTCTGTATCTCTTTCAAATAAATAAATAAATCTTAAAAAAAAAAAAAAAAGTGCAAATGGCCCTGAAATGGAAGTGGGTCTCTGTGAAGGGAGGGTGCACAGTTTTGACTCTACTTGCTCAGTGGACTCCCCCTAATCTACATTTCAAGCATCACTCTCTCCAGTCTTGTCCTCCTATCCTTCCAAATTCCAAATCCACAGCCTCTGGTACGATCCAACCAAGAGCTGCCATCTGCTACCGGAACCATGTTGCCAACCCACTCCCTCAAGCTCGGGCTTGGTCACCTGTCCCTTGACCTCTGCTTTGCACACCTCAGCTCCCTTGGCCTTCTAACTTGATGGCAGCTGCCCAGTAAAATCCCAACCCTGGTTAAATGCAACATGCCTCCTCCTCCTTGCCTGAGGGTTGCTGGATAAACAAGTGGTCTGTTTCTTAACATAAAACCACCAGCCTCAAGTGAACTGCCAGCCCTCTAATCCAAACATACTGCCCCTTTCCTAAACCACTACTTCATGCGTTCTCCTCAAACCTCTACAACTTTGAACCCTAGCATCCTCAGAGGGTGATCTTGCTCCTCTCACTGAGAAGGAAAAAACAACCAAAAGAACATCCACATGCTTGACCACCAGATCTACTCACTTAGCAACCATCCCCTGAACACTGCCCTCCTTCCTGCCCTGAGCCTATCTGGCCCAGGTATCATCAGTCTGTCCCTCCCACTGGATCCTATCAGGCAGCACAGATGGAGTTCTAGGCTCCAGGCTTCAGCCTGGTCCAGCCCCAGCTGTTGAAGGCATTTGGGGAGTGAACCAGCAGATGGAAGATCTCTCACCTGTCTCTCCTTCTCTCACTCACTAATGCCTTTCAAATATGTAAACATAAATATACACACATACCTTGAACCTGACCAATCCTCACTGCCACCACCATGGCCCGCTCGGGTGATCCACACCTTTCCAACTCCTCTGCCTACACCTGCCCTTGCTCATTCTCCACAACTACTCTGTACTGTACACCCAATGAGGCCCTGCAACCTCTGGCATTGACCTCCACAGCCTCTCTGACATCAACTTCCCCAGATCACTCTGATGACAGGCTCAACTACCTCTCTTGTAATTCCTATGTCCTACACTCCATAGCTCAGAACACAACTGTATTTGGAGAGAGGACCTTAAAAAACGTAATTAAGATAAAATGAAGTCACATGGGTGGTTGGCAACTCAATCTGGCAGGTGTCACTAAAGATGAGATCAGGGGGTTGGCACTGTGGTACAGCAGGTTACACTGCCTACAACACTGGCCCCCATATGTGTCCTGGCTGCTCCAGTTCTGATCCAGCCCCCTGTTAATGTGCCTGGGAAAGTAGAAGATGGCTCAAGTACCTGGGCCCCTGCCACCCATGTGCGAGACCCAGATGAAGCTCCTGGCTTCAGCATCGCCAACCCCTGACCTTTGTGGCCATTTGGGAAGTGAACCAGCTTACAGAAGATCTCTCTCCCTCTCTCTCACTCACTCTGGATTTCAAATAAACAAAGAAATCTTTAAAAAAAAAGAAGAGCTCATGGCACACACACAGGACAACCAACAGAGGACATGAGGAGACAGCCACCTGTGAGCAAGGAGAGGCCTCAGGGGCAACAACCCTGCTAGGCACTTTGATCTTGGACTTCCAGCCTCCAGAATGGTGAAAAAAGGCAGTTAAGTTCTCCATCTGCAGTGTGCACAACTCAATTACTGCATCCTCAGGTGACTAATACAAGCTACCCCTCACTACTTCTCTGTTCTCTCTAGGACACACAAGGCACACCCTTGCCTCAGGGCCCTTACATCTTTTCCCTCCAGGCAGAGTTACACATTGTATTAAACCCTCTTTTCAGCTGTGGAAACTGAGGCTTAAGGATGCTAAATTAAAAGATGTGCCCAGGCCGGTGCCGCGGCTCACTAGGCTAATCCTCCGCCTAGCGGCGCCGGCACACCGGGTTCTAGTCCCGGTCGGGGCGCCGGATTCTGTCCCGGTTGCCCCTCTTCCAGGCCAGCCCTCTGCTGTGGCCAGGGAGTGCAGTGGAGGATGGCCCAGGTGCTTGGGCCCTGCACCCCATGGGAGACCAGGAAAAAGCACCTGGCTCCTGGCTCCTGCCATCGGATCAGCGCGGTGCGCCGGCCGCAGCGCGCCAGCCGCGGCGGCCATTGGAGGGTGAACCAACGGCAAAGGAAGACCTTTCTCTCTGTCTCTCTCTCTCACTGTCCACTCTGCCTGTCAAAAAAAAAATAAATAAATAAAAAAAAAAAAAAAAAAAAAAAGATGTGCCCAGTAAGAGGGAGAGAAGACAGAATCTCCACACCTTATTAATACCAGATAAAAGTGAGATGTGGGGAGCAACTCGGACTAGACTGTTACTGGAATTAAGACTTATTCTATGCATCTGCTCTCCCACAATATGGCGCTGGGAGAGAAGAAAACAGCTTCTACGCAGCTGCCTCCAGTTCAACCAATAAACTGTAGGACTTGTTCCTGATTGGAGGAGAGCAGCGTGCTCGGCGTGTGGGCAGAATCCACCACATGGAGTGAGGAGGACTATAAAGGAGGAGAGAGACGGCATGCACCAGGAACATCTAAGGGGAACATCTAAGGGAACACCTGTGCAGCCCCCGAGAAGAGCCGGCCGGCGGTGTGCCGCTCCCCTGCGGAAGTGGGGAATGTGGCCAGGGGGAACCGCCCTTCCACGGAGGTGGAAGGGACAGTAGCCAACCCGGGAAGAACCAGCAGCAAACCCGGGGAGGGCCGAGCAGACAAAAGAACAGCGCAGGGTTTAGAGTCGTTCCTCCACGAAGACGGGGAGCGACAGTGAGAGGCATTACTTACTTCTCCACCCAGAGAACAGAAACAAGCTTCACCCCTCTCTTCTGGGCTTTGTCCCATGTGCTCTGATACCCGTCTTTGAAAACAACGTGAGTTACTTGTTTGTTAAAAGTTTTTGAAACCTGTAAATAAAATGCAGGAAACAAAATGCACATTACTATTTACACATAATTTCCTAAGTATAATTAATTAAAAAACCCCTACCCTAGAAATTCCATTTCTCAGAATCTGTAACAGAGAAATAGGCTGCTAAAAACCGTAGCTGGAGCCCAGTGTTATGGCGCAACAGGTTAAGCTGCCACTTACAACACCATCAGAGTGCTGTTTTTTGTCTTGGCTGCTCCACTTCTGCTCCAGCTCCTTGTTAATATACGTGTGAAGTCAGATGAAAAAGGTCCAAGTACATGGGCCCCTGCTGTCTATGTGGGAGACCCAGATGGAGTTTCAGGCTCCTGGCTTCCACCTGGCCCAGATCTAGCCATGGCAGCTATTTAGGAAGTTAACTAGTAGAGGCAATATCTATCTCACTCTTTCTCTCACTCTGCCTTCCAAATAATATTTAGAAATAATGTAATAAGTATAATACATAAAATATGCAATAGTATAAATAAATCTTAAAAGAAAAATGAGCTAGAATTATATACCATACACAACTTAAAAATCACCATTCCCTCTCCAAAAACTTCTAAAGTGCTACTAGAGTTAATAAAGTATACTGAATCAATAACAACGTGAAAGTCAACAATGGAAAAAGCCTTCAAGATACACAATGAATGTTATCACATTTTACAATGATCTAAAATGTCAATCAGAAGTAACAACATAATAAAGGCATCTTCAGACACTCATGTTGTCAAAAAATATACCTTTTACATACCCTTTCCAGCAGTGGAAGACACCCACCTATGTTCTTCTAACGTTTTAAATTTTATTTAAGTAGTAAGTGCACAGTAGTCACCTTTTACCCTCGGTCTCACTTTCCCAGGTTCACTTACTCGCTCTCAACTCACATCGTCACGATGTGATGGTCCTCCTCCTGAGGTCAAGAGCATCCTCGGGCTCTGCCACTCACCTCACTTCATCTCATCACACAGGTACTGTAGCACCCCATATTGCAGGCAACGTGAGTAAAGTAAGATGTTTTGAGAAAGTCTACATTCACATGGCTTTTATTATAATGCATTGTTGAAACTATTGTACGTTGTTTTATTTATTACTGTCAGCACCACTGTGCCTAATTCATAAACTAAACTTTATCACAGGCACGCATATACAGGGAAAGAATGTGCCTACATACATTCTTTCCCTGTATATGCGTACCTATGATAAAATTTAGTACTATCTGGTACTATCCACAGTTTCAGGCATTCACTGGGGGTCCTGGAATGTATCCTTATGGATAAGGAATACAGAGACTCTTATTATACACTGTAAACACGAAGGCAAATACCGGAAGAGGCAGGTAAAAAAGATGTGAGAGTGACTGCCCTGGGACAAGGAAACAGGAAGTACAGAGCAAACAACTGAAAATTTCTCCTTGATCTCATTAACTTGATAGCACTGCCTATTAATCTTTTTAAATAATACCCACATATTACTTTATAAACAATACCTACAACTCACATAAACGCCCTGGGAGCCCACAAAGTAGTCAGATGAAGGCCAAATCTGATACCCAGAGAAATGAGTCTAGCATTCTGAGAGATTTTTCGCTAATCTAGGCTTTTGTCAGACTTAGCATACTTTTAAACAACATTTCTAAGTGTCTCTCAGGATAAGGGGAACAAAGATGGAACTCAAGCCTCAGACCAGCAAGAGGGTTAAGGATGAACTTAAGTTACATTGACTTTCACAGGTCTGCAGGCCAGTTTTAAATCATCTCAAATCCAGAGGGAGGATTAAAACAATCCTGGATTATGAGGACTACAAACATCCTACAAATGTGAATCTCTTTCGAAGTAAGAAAATTTGGGAGGCTAGCACTATGGCACAGAGGGTTAAAGCCCCACCCTGCAGTGCTGGCATCCCATATGGGCACTGGTTTGAGTCCCAGCTGCTCTACTTCCTATCCAACTCTCTGCTAATGTGCCTGGGAAAGCCCCGGAGGATGGCCCAAGTCCTTGGACCCCTGCACCCACATGGCAGACCCAGGAGAAGCTCCTGGCTCCCAGCTTCAGAAGGGCTCAGCTCTGGACATTGTGGCCATCTGGGGTGATGGAAGACCTCCCTCTCTCTCTACCTCTCTCTGTAACTCTGCCTTTCAAATAAACAAATCTTTAAAAAGAAAAGAAAAAAGAATTTGGAGCCAACATTGTAGCATAGTGGGTTAAGCACCATCTGGACACTGGCATCCCGTATGAACACCAGTTTGAGTCCCAGTTGTTCCACTTCAGATACAGCTCCCTGATACTAGTCCAGGAAAAGCAGAGATGGTCCAAGTGCTTGAGCTCTGCCACACACGTGGGAAACCCAGGGGAAGCTCCTTGGTCTCGCCCAGTGCTGGCCATTGCAGCCCTCTGGGGAATGAATCAGCAGATGGCAGAGCTCTCTCTGTGTCTCTCCCTTCCTCACTGTAACTTTCAAATAAATAAATCCTAAAAAAAAAGGAAAATTTTAGTTCTCAAATTATTTACAAATGATTTAACACATAGTGTTCAAATAAAAAAAATGAATAACAAGAACCAAGCGTACAAGAAAACAAGACAAGGGCAAAAAGCACTGGCTGAAACAAAAGTAAAAGCAGATGCGGATACTGCAGTCTACCAAAGACTTCTTGGGAAATGCAGCTGAAGTGCTGGTTATGGGGATCCCATGATCAAAATGCTTAAATACAATTCAGAAGGCTGAAAACCAATGCACCAATTTTAAAAAGCTGGAAAAATAAGAACTAACTTATCTAAAACAGAGTTCACTTAATATTAAAGGCCAGACTCAATAAAATGGAAAGTAAGTGTAAAAAGGGGGGAGTTTAGAAGAACAAGTTGGTTCCTTGGACTCTATATCAATAAAACCAGTAAAATCCAGGTATATATGATCAAGAAAAGAGAAAACGCACAAATAACCAATGTCAAGAATGAAGAGTCATCACTACAGACCCTAAAGTCACTAAAAGACTTGAATAGGATATCACCATATCTTAGACAACATCTATCAAAATTTACATGGGATGGAAAAATGTCTTTTTAAAAAGTAAGCTCAATTTTCTAAAAACACTCAGAAAAGATGTATCATTCTATATTAAGTAAATTAAAACTGTAATAATAATTTTAAAATAACCTACAAAGGAAAACCCAGGACTAGCTGGTTAACAGAACTAATATTACATAAACTCAGAGAAGAACAGTGTTTTAAAATTTCATCTTCGGAATTCTCCCCTCCTCTGACTTCCACATTTGTTTTTCCCCACCACCCTAGAAAGCATTTTCTAGTTTTGTCCCTGGGTTCACCACCTACTGACCCCAGGCTCCTCCTCCAGTCCTTTTCACTCTAACCTACCCCAGTGGGCTATACCCATGTCTGTAACAGCACCCTAGCAGCCTTCCAAGCCCATTTTATGGGGCCTTAGCTTAAGAAGTGGCACAATTGCCCCTATGGCTAACATAGTTAACATCTCAATGCTGGCCTCCATTCTAAGAATCCTTGCAAGAACTCACAGGAACAAATTCAATATTTATCAGAGCTGGTGCTGTGGCATAGCAGGTTAGCCATGTCATGCAGTGCTGGCATCCCATATGGTGCCGGTTTGAGTCCCAGCTGCTCCAGTTTCAACCCAGCTCTCTGTTATGGCCTGGGAAAGCATAGAAAATGGCTTAAGTCCTTGGGCCCCTGCACCTGGTTAGCAGACCCAGAAGAAGATCCTGGCTTCAAATCGGCCCAGCTGCAGCCATTGTGGCCATTTGAACCAGCAGATAGAAGACCTCTTTCTCCCTTTCTGCCTCTGCCTCTCAAATACATAAATCCAAAAAAAAAAAAAAAAAAAAAAAAAAAACACCTCATTTATCATCCCTATAGGTAAGATCCTGTTAGACTCTGAGATGTTTTTTCAGGAACTTCAAGCCCCAATCAAGTAACATCCACTTTGTATTTAGACTCTTACTGGAGCCCACTTTTGCCATTCCAAAGGAAATGTACTGACCCCTATCACTGACCAAAGGAAAAGGCCATGCATGTTGTGGCCCAACCAGGGGCCCACACAAGCGATAATCACATACTACTCATCCCCAGCTAGGACTATGACTCACATCTTTACTGGGGGAGACAGGAACTCAGTAACAGCGGCCTGGCTCCATGCTCTGCACATTACCAGCCTGATGTCAGTGACTGGCTTACTGCATAGGTGCATTGTCGGGGGTTCTACAGCAACTCCAACCAGCTCGGGGGGCTGTTCCATAGCCCATCTGCGGTCTCACCTGATGCCTTGGGGGGCATCAGTATCTCTAGCCTTAACCACCTCAAGTTCCAGATTTGTAGATTCAATGTCTTCCAGATATTTCCACCAAGTCCAACTTAATAACCTTTGCCTTGAAGTCTTCCTTTTCTTGCACTTACTTGGTTAACAGCACCATGTACCCAAGAAACAGCAGCCGAATCCAGTTTTCACCTGATTCCTCCTCCTCACTCACATTCCACAAGGCCTACTGTTCTAAATTCTTCATTCTTTGTTCTTCCCTTTGTTCTTCCACTACTTACCCATTGCCTTGCCCTTCCTGTTCTAAAAAACTTGTAAAATAAGAAAATATAGCTGTTTCTCTTCACATATCAGAGGATCATCATGTGTCAGTGGCAAAAATGCATCTTACCTTTGCTCCCATGTCTAATAGCTGGTTTGTAAATGTCTTTGAGTAATTTTCTGTCCCCTTGGATGACCACACTTCAACATAGGCCACCACATCTGAAAATAAGACATTAGCATGAAATTTACATTTGTACTTCAAGTATCACTTGCCCAAGAGATTTTGCTTTTATTCTACTTATATTAAAAAGTATATTTTGGGGTCAGGGCTGTGGTGCAGTGAGTAAAGCCGCAATCTGCAATGCCAGCATCCCATATGGGCACCAGAGACAAAGCTGCTCCACTTCCTATCCAGCTCTCTGCTATGGCCTGAGAAGGCAACTGAGGGCGGCCCAAGTCCTTGGGCCCCTGCACCTGCATGGGAGACCCGGAGGAAGCTCCTGGCTCCTGGCTCCAGCCGTTGCAGCCATCTGGGGAGTGAACCAGCAAATGGAAGACCTCTCTCTCTCTCGCTGCATAACTCTGACTTTCAAATAAATAATCTTAAAAAAAAAAATTGCCATGTGACCGCAAATCCCCCCACCCCCTTTTTTTTGACAGGCAGAGTGGACAGTGAGAGAGAGAGAGAGAGAGAGAAAGGTTTTTTTTTTGTTTGTTTGTTTGTTTTTTTGACAGGCAGAGTGGATAGTGAGAGAGAGAGAGACAGAGAGAAAGATCTTCCTTTGCCGTTGGTTCACTATCCAATGGCCGCCGCGGCCGGTGCACCGCGCTGATCCCATGGCAGGAGCCAGGTACTTATCCTGGTCTCCCATGGGGTGCAGGGCCCAAGCACTTGGTCCATCCTCCACTACATTCCCTGGCCACAGCAGAGAGCTGGCCTGGAAGAGGGGTAACTGGGATGGAATCCAGCGCCCCGACCGGGACTAGAACCCGGTGTGCTGGCGCCACAAGGCAGAGGATTAGCCTAGTGAGCCGCAGAGGTAGACAGTGAGAGAGAGAGAGACAGAGAGAAAGGTCTTCCTTTCCATTGGTTCACCCCCCAAATGGCTGCTACAGCCGGCGTGCTGTGCCAATCTGAAGGCAGGATCAAGGTGCTTCCTCCTGGTCTCCCATGCAGGTGCAGGGCCCAAACACTTGGGCCATCCTCCACTGTACTCCCGGGCCACAGCAGAGAGCTGGTCTGGAAGAAGGGCAACCGGGACAGAATCCAGTGCCCCGACCGGGACTAGAACCCGGTGTGCCGGCACCGCAAGGCGGAGGATTAGCCTACTGAGCCATGGCGCCGGCCTCAAATCCCCTTAAGCTGAGTAGTAAAAATAGCATTCTAAGTGTTACAGCAATCATTTGGATAGGATTAAGTGCTAAAGTGATCATATTGATAGGATCAAGTGTTAAAACAAACATACAAATAGGAAAAGGTTTTGATAATAATAGAATTAAAAAGCAATAAGTGCTCCAACATGGGAAGCAGTACATGCAGCAGACTCAGAATGACAATCGCCTTAAGTAGTACTCTGACCTCAGAAGCAACCCTTAAGGCATTCTGGTTTGGCTGAAAAGCCCAGGGAAGCATTTCAAGCATGGAAAGCCAAGACACTGTAGCAGAAAATGTTTAACATGAAGGACCTCTGTGGGTGAGACCCCAGTGGAAAGCGGCAGCCACCAAAGAAGGAGGTCCTTTCCTCTGAAGGGAGGACAGAGCTTCCACTTTGCCTATGGCCTTGTAGAAATACTAAAGGAGTCTGTGGATCCAAAAGGCTTCCATAGCCTAGGCAGCTCATGTCAAGAGCCTTGGCTGATCACTGATACCATAAATAAGAGTGTTAATTGTTAAATAAACAACAGGAGTCACTGTGTGCTAACTTCCTCTGTCCTGGGAAACAGGACTTCTGTCCTCAAAGAGCTGTATTATGAGATGTAATAGTAAAACTTGTTCTCAAAGAATTACTTCGTTTTAGTGTATTAAGTGAGGGATATTCTTATGTCACACAAAATATAGTTATGTCTAAGTGCTTGCAAAAGATGTATCATTCTTGGGTTCTTCTTTAAGATAAGTTAAAAAAAAAAAAAAACCCTAAATGACCATCAAGATGCAACAACTTTGAACAGCCCTTGTCTGAACTGTTGAGGAACAGCTTTTTTCTTAATTTTTTAAATGTTTTTTATTTTTAGTTTTGTTTGATTTTTTCTTTTTCTTTTTTTCTCCCTCATACTAAGTGCTGAACTCTCTTTACCTAGAATAGGGTTAATCTGTTTAAATGAAAATAGATCCTAGTAAAACAAGACTGGGAACAGGAGAGGAAGGCAGAAGAGGGATGCAAGTGTGGGTGGGAGGGCAGGTATGGGGGGAAGAATCGCTATGTTCCTAAAGTTGTATTTATGAAATGTATGCAAATAAAAAAAGAACCTATTCCAAAATAGCATCGGTGCAAGTTACAGTTCTTAAAATACTAAGCAAAGAACTTCACTCACACACATATCCCAACTTATATTCCTTACGCTTTACTGCTCTTCCCCATTTCCTAAATCAGGGTTAGTTGTCTAGCACAGGGGTCTGTTGTCTGTGAACGGACAGACAGTGAATACTTTGGCTCTGCAAGATACACGGTATCTGACCGCCAGTACTGGACTTTAAGTTCAGGGCATGAAAGTAGCCACCGGCGGTATGTCAATGAGCCGGAATAGCTGTGATCCAGTAACACTTACAATCCTGAGACAATGTTATTCTTTTTTCTCGGAATCTCACAAATGTACATAAAACACAATCTCGGAGGCCCCAGGAAACTAGGTAGGGGCAGATTTGGCTGGAGGGTGGGGGCAGCCTGTGCACCTCTGCTCTGGGGGCCACCACCTTCTCAAAACCCAGCCTCTCGAAAGAACGTTCCAGGCGCACCATGGTAACGGTGAGCAACGCAAACGGGACGTCAGAAAAGCCAGCAAACTCCCGCACTGCCATCAGAAACAGCCACAGACCACTACAGCACGCAGCTGTCAGCTCTTGTGTCACTCCAGGCCCCCCCAGACTCCACGCCCGCCGCAGGGCAGGGCCGGGGCCGCAGTGCCTGCCGACCCCCTGCCTCAGTTTCCCACTCTGGCGCCCACGACCACACCGCGGACACGTGCGAGCGGTGGGCGGGAGCTAGCCCCACGCTGACCACTCGACAGCGAGGGGCCGTCGAGGAAGGCCGGGAAGCGCCCCAGCCCACCCCGCCAGCTCTCCGCGTACCGGCCGGCTCGCGCGGCGGGGAGCGGCGAGGTGGGAGTGTCCACCGCCACGGGGCCCGCGCTGCCCTCCGTTCACGCGTGTGCGGGCAGCTCAGGGCTGCAGAGGTCGCGCGGGGGCTGCTCCCACCAGCTCCCCGAGCGCGGCGCCCCCGGGGGGGTGTCCCTCCTCAAAAGACGCACCCCTCCTTCCCGCCGGCTCGAGACGCCGAAGTCACCTCACCTTTCAGGACAGAGCCCGCTGCGGTGCCCGGGGCCGCCATGACGCGCGCCTGATCCAGACCCACGGGAGCGCGCGCGCGGCCGGACGAGCCTGACGGGGCGGGCGGTCACCGAGCATGCGCAGAGCGCGCGCGCACCGCCCCTTCCGCGCGCCGCGGCGAAGTCCGCGCGTCCCGAGGGGCCCGAGGGGAGTGGCGGCCCGGCCCCTACCCGCCCTCTCGGGAGTTGCGCGGGTGTCCCACCAACGCGAGATAAACCCTCGCATCTCCTCTGGGTGTCTGGAGGCTTCTGGCGCCTCCCCGGGGAGGGGGCGGGGCCTCAGGCCGGGACCGAACTCTGACCTCCAACCCCGGGGGGTCACCGCCGCTCGGGCGCCCCCCACCCGACCCCTGCGAGTGACCGGCGGCAGCCCCGCGCCCGGCGGCCCTGGGGTCGCGGACCTCCCCGGGATGGGGAGAGGACCCCCGGCCGCGCTCGGCCCCAGCGACTTCAAACCTGCCGCGCTCCGGGAGCCGCGGGCCGGGGTCGCCGGGCCCTGAGGACGCGGCGGGCCGGGCGGGCCGGGCCCTGAGGACGCGGCGGGCCGGGGTCGCCGGGCCCTGAGGACGCGGCGGGCCGGGCGGGCCGGGCCGCCTGTGGATAACGGGGCCCCGCTTAATCCCCTGAGACACGACGGAGCTGGCAAGTGGACCGGGTGAGCCCAGCGCTCCGCTGCGGTCGGCGTGGGCACGGATCTCGGTACTGCGGGCGCGTCCCGGTGGCCGGGCTCGGCGTGGGGACCCCGCGGGACCCCCGGCCAGCCCCGCGGTTTCTGTTCCTCGTTCGCGAGCGAGCCTCGGGCGGAATTTATCTCAGGTGTCGCCACGCGTGCTGCTGTCGAAAGAATTACAGCTAAAATTGGTTCGGGATTCACGAGTGGGGCGGCCTCCTGTATAGGAGAGACACTCACGGGATGGCGGGTTGATTCGTTCCAGGGAGGGAACTGGTTAACGTCAGGTAGCTTTTCACCTCTGTAGCAGCAAAGCGGACAGGGGGGTGCTGGCTTTGCTGGCTGGAAATCCCCTGTTTTTAGGAAAACTTTTGTGGTTTGCATCCTTCTGTGAGGGGTCAAACGGGCCCACAAGTCCTGGTGGAAAATGAAGAAAGGAGAGCCCCCCAAGAGGGTGCAAATGCCCGCGTCCCCCAAAAGTTATCCTTAGCAAGGTCAAAGTGCTGAGTTGGGCTACATGTTTCTCCCCCCAAAACTGCCTTTAGCAAGACAGAAGTATCTGTCCCACTCCTCGGAAGCTTCCGGTTTTATCTCACAACAGCCAGGGAGTGGTGATTCCACGCCTCTGCCCTTCCAGTTTACTGTGAAAACAAGCTACCTCTCCCACCCTTCCCCATGGCTCTTTTGTTTTAGGGCAAATAAAATTACAAGTCAGGCCTTTTGATGGGGTTTTTTTAAAAAGATTTATTTATTTATTTATTTATTTGAAAGAGTCAGAGAGGTAGAGAGAGAGAGAGGTCTTCCATCCGCTGGTTCACTCCCCAACGGGCCGCAATGGCCAGAGCTGTGCCAATCTGAAGCCCGGAGCCAGGAGCTTCCTCCAGGTCTCCCATGTGGATGCAGGGGCCCAAGCACTTGGGCCATCATCTACTGCTTTCCCAGGCCACAGCAGAGAGCTGGATTGGAAGTGGAGTAGCCAGGACTAGAACCGGCGCCCATATGGATGCTGACGCTTCAGGCCAGGGCTTTAACCCGCTGCACCACAGTGGCAGCCCCTGATGAGTTTTTGTCCCTGCCTTGTAACTGATTGTTAGCTGAGTGTCAGTATTTTTCCCAAAATTGTGCTTAAAAACCCCACTACCACCAGCCCCTTTGGGTTTTGCGTGTCTTGGAGCCCCTGCTCCTGGACACTGAGGTGGGAGGTCTTTGTCTTAAATCCTGCCTTTCTCTCTGCCTGGTCGGCATGGACATTCTTCTTCCATGTGAGGAACCGAGGTCGTGTCTTCACCGTAACGTGGAAGGCCACGTCTTCACCACGCCCCTGTTGATCTCAGGCCCCTACCATACCCCACCTGAATGCCTACCTGCCAGTCAGACTAGGTAATCACTCCCCTTTGGGAGTAAATAAAAGGCCTGGAACACGGTGGGCCCTGGCCTTGTTGCACCGTGCCTCCAGGCGCCAGGCCTTATGGCATCCGCCCACTCTCTGCTTTCCTGCCTGCATGCTTGCTCCATGTGGCACCCGGCCTGCTCGCTGCCTGGTGTGGACCCAACTTAGCTACTAAGTTTCTCCCCCAACTGAAGCCCTCACTTTCCTGTTCATTTCTCTCACTGAATAAAATCTTCGAAAACTTACCATGTTGTCTGGTCTATTTGAGCCAGTATTTAGGATTCTTCTCTGAAGGGATGGCAAGAACCCACAAAGATTATTAGTTTTTTCCAAAGATTTATTTATTTATTTGAAAGGCAGAGTTAGAGAGAGGAAGAGGCCATCTGGGGAGTGAACCAGCGGATAGAAGACCTCTGTCTGTCTCTCTGCCTCTCCTCTCTTCCATCCGCTGGTTCACTCCCCAGTTGGCTGCAACGGCTGGAGCTGCACCTATCCAAAGCCGGGAGCCTGGAGCTTCCTCCGGGTCTCCCACAGGGGTGCAGGGGCCCAGTGACTTAGGCCATCTTCTGCTTTCTCAGGCCATAGCAGAGAGCTGGATCGAAAGTGGAGCAGCTAGGACTTGAACCAGCACCCGTATGGGATGCCAGCACCGCAGGCTTTACCCACTATGCCAGAGCACCGGCCCATATAGAGATTATTAATATGAAAAATTATTAATAGGGGCTAGCGCTGTGGCGTAGCGGGTAAAGCTGCTGCCTGCAGTGCCGGCATCCCATATGGGCACTGGTTCAAGTCCCAGCTGCTCCACTTCTCTCTGCTATGGCCTGGGAAAGCAGTGGAAGATGGCCCAAGTCTTTGGGCCCCTGCACCCACATGGAAGACCTGGAAGAAGCTCCTGGCTCCTGATAGGCACAGCTCCAGCCGTTGCAGCCATCTGGGGAGTGAACCAGCGGATGGAAGACCTCTCTTTCTCTCTGTCTCTGCCTCTCCTCTCGCTGTGTAACTCTGACTTTCAAATAAATAAATCTTATTTAAAAAATATAAATAAAGCTGGATGATATCGAGTCCAGCAAGAAGGGGAGGTGTGGGAAGGGAGTGCATTTGGCATAGCAGCTAAATTGCCCCTCAGCCTGCGTGGAATCCAGCTCTGCTTCCCGTCAGCTTCCTGCTAATGTGCACCCTGGGAAGCGTCAGGAGAGGGCTTAAGTACTTGAATCCCCACCACCATGTGGGAGACCCACATGGAGATCCAGGCTCCTGTCTTTGGCCTCACGCAGACGTACTATTGCAGGCAGTGGATGAGAGAGCCCTGTCTCTCGGCTTTTCAAATAAAATGAAAGTAGATAAAAATTTTAAAGCAAAGAGGAAGGGAAAGAAGCAGGCAGGGTTAGCACCACAGTGACAGAGCACGTAGTGGACAAGTTTGAAAAGGGCTTTCAGTCACCTGAGGGGTCTCCGTGGGAGGGACAACTTTCAGACCAAAAGGAGCCTTTCCAGGAGGCCTCAGAATTTACCCCATTCCGAGAGTATACTCATTTCCAACGTGACTGAAACAAATAACCCGTTTTATGGCTTAAACTGTAGGGCAAGAGGTGCAGCCCCCGGAACCCAAAGCCACTCCCAATGGTAGACAGCAAAACAAACCCAAATGCTGCCAGTGACAAAGGCAACAAGCTAGGACAGAACCTAAATCTGAACAGTTCTGAGAACTGGGAGGACTCTCAGTTGGAATAGAATGCCCCTTAGGTGTTAGGGCTCCAACCTAGTGGCTGTGGCTGCTTCTAGACAAAGGCCTGGCCCTCTGTGTCCCTGACAGGTGGGGCACAGAGGTGCTCTCCAAAGCCAGATTCACGGGGAGGAAAACGTCATCTCGTTCAGTTAGTGAACAATAAGCACTTGGAGCTGGTGCCCACGTCCTACCTTGTGAGTCTCCATGACACAACTCGAGTAATACCAGACCCACAGCAAGTCACACTAACCCAAACACTAGTTCTCACCAAAAGCTTTCCCTGTAAATGTAAACTCTAGAAAATCTCTTAAGACAAGGAGAGGCTCTGTACCAGTCTGGTGCCTCAGGACCTGAGCAGAGATCTGGGGGTCTCACAGCTGCCTGGACACAGAGTGCAGGTTCTCAGCCTCCAATCCAGGGACACCTGGACATCCTCACCAGACCATCCTTGTAGCCAAAGCTGTCAGGAAGACCTTACCTCTTCTGCTTGGGGGTCTGCAAATTGAATGACAACAGATTGACAGTAGGGAAGGCAGGTTAATCTCCATGTGCTCCTACTGCTGGGAGGAGGTGACTAGTGATGAGTCACTTAACAGCTAGGAAACAAAAGTTTATTTACCAAACTTCATAAGGGGTTGCGGGTTCTGGGAGGAGGGTAGTTTAAGGTCTTCCGTGGCAAGGTATAGAATTCCTTTGTTTAAAGATGGACTTATTTATTTGAAAGGCAGACGGAGAGAGACACACGCAGGTCTTTCATTCACTAGTTCTCTCCCCAAATAGCCACAGCAGCCAGGGCTGTGCCAGCTGAAAGCCAGGAGCTTAGAACTCCATCCAGGTCTCCCACCTGAGTGGCAAGGGCCCTAGGACTTGGGCCATCTTCGCAGCCCATTAGCACTGAGCTGTATCAGAAGTGAAACAACCAGGACTCCAGCAGGCACTGGAATAGGGGATGCCAGTGTCACAGGTATGGCTTAACCTGCTGCACCACAATGCTTGTCCCTATTCCTAATTTCTATTTTTTTTTTTCATGTTAATAGGAGTGGGATTAGTCTTTCTCCATAGCAGTTGAATCCCAGGAACTCCTTCTGGTGGGAGAGTTTAATGGCTGCTGTGTTTTCTGTAGGCTCTGCTTTCTTCAGATAAGTCAGATAATCAGTCTCTGTATCTTCTTCAACTCAAATATTTTCACTTTAGGGGCCAGCATCGTGGCATAGTGGGTTAAGCCCTGGCCTGTGACACTGACATTCCACAGGGGTGTCAGTTCATGTCTCGGCTGCTCCTCCTATGATCCAGCTCCCTGCTAATGTGCTTGGGAGGGCAGCAGAAGATTCGGGCCCTTGCCATC